AGTCTGTTCCATTTTGGAATATTATTATTTATTGTTATTCTTTATTTGAATTTTATATATTGTGATATACCTTTTTTTTTTCTCGGATATATTTTACTTAGACATTTTTCGATATCTATATTACTATGACGGAACACTCTCCTAAGGTTCTTAAGTTAAAGTCTATTCCCCCTATTTCGATTCAGTTAACGCCATTTTGGCCCGACAATATCGAGTCCTGTTTCTGCTATGCAGAAGCCGATTTTTGCATGCACGGAATCACGGACTCGCGCACACGTTTCCTCGCGGTAGTTAAGGCGTTACCGCGCGAGTTTAACAGGTACGTAACACCTAGTATGTTTACTAGTGATGTTTCCGAACCTTACGAATCGCTTAAGCTATCGATTTTAAAACGAGGAGACCTAACTGATCGACAACGGTTAGACCAACTCCTTAACAATATCGACTTGCAACATGGTTCTTCGACGGACATGTTGCTTAGAATGAGAGAAGTCATCGGCCAACGAACTTTCGATGATGGCCTATTTAGACAACCTTTCTTGTCTAAACTCCCTCAACAGGTGCAGGCAGTGCTTGTTTCATTTCAAAACAATGCCATAGATGAACTAGCTGCATCTGCCAATCGAATCTTGGAAATCACTAGATCTTCTAAGGCCGAGGTTTTTTCCGTCAAAGAAAAACCCCAATCGACCTCGACTGACATGGCCGAACTATGTCACACGCTTACACGATATCTTAGAGTTCGCAATGACCGTAGTCGGTCAAAAACCCCGCGTAGAAGTGCCTCACGTAAGCGATCTGGCTCTCGACCACGAGAGACAGACAATCCTGACTGGTGCTGGTATCATAACCAGTACGGTAAGTTTTCCAGAAACTGCAGGAAACCTTGTAATTATCCGACCCCAAAATCGAGTGACACGAAAAACAGTTCGGGAAACTTCCCAGCCGGCACGCGTTAACGGCAACCGTAGCCGGCGAACACAGCCGCCTCTTATATGTCACGGATGTGACTACAAAAGTTCGCTACCTCGTCGACACTGGCGCAGAAGTTAGCGTTCTTCCAGCAAATCTCGACGACAGACTTCGCGAGTATGTTTTAAGTTTACAGGCGGCAAACGGAAAGCCGATCGCTACTTACGGTAAAAGGTACGTCTACCTTAACGTGGGTTTACGTAAACCCATACACTGGATTTTCGTGGTTGCAGATGTCTCTATGCCAATCATTGGTATTGACCTGTTACAACACCACAATCTACTCATCGACACACGCGCACGAAGGTTAATAGACGGAAACACTAAGTTGTCCGTTTGCGTAACTCCTTGTTCTGGTTGCAGGTTATCCCCAGTCACGATTAAGCACGCCATAGACCCCTTGTACCAAGCAGTACTCGACAAATACCCCGGGATATACCAATCGCAATGGAAATTACCTTGTGTAACCAGCAATGTTACACATCACATCTCGACTACAGGACCACCTGTATTTTCGAAAGCCCGAAGACTCGCTCCCGAAAAACTTAGGTTAGCTAAAAACGAATTCAACCACATGATGGACCTAGGAATAATTCGACCATCGAATAGTCCATGGGCATCCCCATTGCACATGGTCCCTAAAAAGGACAGCAATGATTGGCGGCCAACTGGTGATTATCGGCGTCTGAATGCTAAAACCATTCCCGATCGTTACCCGCTGCCTCATATTCACGATTTGACAGCTACCTTGAAGGGTACAACTGTCTTTTCGAAAATCGACTTGGTTAAAGCTTATAACCAAATCCCGATGGCACCTGACGACATTCCTAAAACCGCCATCATCACTCCCTTCGGTCTTTACGAATTTCTACGAATGCCTTTTGGTTTAAGAAACGCGGCTCAAACCTTCCAAAGGTTTATAGACGACGTCTTCCGAGGTCTCAACTTCGTACATGCGTATGTTGATGACTGTCTAATAGCAAGTCCGGACAAAGAATCGCATCTCAAGCATCTGGACATTGTTTTCGATCGACTCCAAAGGCATGGCATTACTGTCAACATTCAGAAATGCCAAATCGGAACTAACTGCTTAGACTTCCTAGGACACACTATTGATGCTGAAGGCATCCGACCACTTAGGAGCAAAGTGGCGGCCATTCTGGATTACCCAGAACCGACCACGATCAAGCAGTTACGAACTTTCAACGGATTCGTAAGTTTCTATAGACGGTTCATACCTAAATGCGCATCCCTAATGAAACCGTTAACCGATCAGCTTCGTGGAAATGCGAAATCAATTAGTTTAGACGACACAGCCCGTAAAGCATTTTCCACAGTTAAGGAACACATCGCTAAAGCAACCTTGCTTGCTCATCAGGACAGTCAAGCGCCCATTAGTATCGCCGTAGACGCATCCGACTCAGCAATCGGAGGGGTCTTACAACAATGGGTTAACAACTCGTGGCAACCTTTAGGATTTTTCTCGAGACGGTTGCTAGACGCTGAATCTAGGTACAGCACGTTCGGTAGGGAACTCCTAGCTATGTATTGTGCTGTACGGCATTTTCAACATTCCATCGAAGGAAGAGAATTCACGCTCTTTACCGATCACAAACCTCTTACCTTCTCTTTAAGTTCATCTTCAGACAAGTACTCATCAAGAGAGTCTCGACAACTGGACTACATTTCGCAGTTTACTTCAGACATACAACATATTTCTGGAGCAAACAATGTAGTCGCAGACGCCTTGTCTCGAATTAGCTCCTTGAACAGTTTCCAAGGAATCGACCTTCTTAAACTCGCTCAGCTTCAAAAAGAAGACATTGATCTTCAGCATGAGTTATCCTCGACAACTCTTAAACTAAGTATTAGGCAGATGGGAACAGGTAAGGAAACCTTACTCTGTGACACATCTACAGGTAGGGATCGTCCAATTGTACCAAAACACTATCGCCGCAACGTCTTCAATACGTTGCACAATCTTTCTCATCCAGGTGCTCGTGCAACAATCGAACTTATAGACGAACGCTTTTGTTGGCCTGGCATGAATAAAGACGTGAGGGAGTGGTCACGCTCCTGTGTAAGCTGTCAGAAATCTAAGGTAATCAGACACAACAAATGTCCCTTAGGTTCTTTCAAAACCCCTGACGCTCGTTTCGACCACGTCCATCTAGATTTGGTAGGACCCTTACCCGACTCGAACGGATACTCATATCTCCTAACATGCGTAGACCGTTTTACTCGATGGCAAGAAGCAGTACCGATTAAGGACATTACTGCTGAAACAGTGGCTCGCACTTTCGTCGAACGATGGGTAGCAAATTTCGGCTGCCCTTCAACCATCACTACAGACCGCGGACGCCAGTTCGAATCTGGACTTTTCCGTTGTCTGACCACACTTTTCGGAATCACGCGCTTCCGAACGACCGCCTACCACCCACAAGCAAACGGGTTGGTAGAACGTTTTCATCGACAATTAAAAGCTTCATTATCAGCTTCAAACGTTTCACAGTGGACAGACGCTCTTCCACTCGTCTTGCTAGGTATCCGCAATGCAGTGAAAGCTGACATTGGATACACGGCATCTCAACTCGTTTACGGAACGACACTCCGACTCCCAGGAGAATTCGTGGATCCTTCAGCTTCTTCATTGAACATGGATCTAAACTCTTACACGAGTAGGCTTACAAACGCTATGCGTTCAGTTAAACCTGCTCACACTCGACCTCAATCAACTGATGTTTTCGTTCAACCCGAATTACGACATAGTACACACGTCTTCGTTCGTCGAGACTCACATCGACGACCCCTCGAATCAGCATACGAAGGACCCTTCAAAGTTCTTCAACGCGAACCTAAGTACTATGTAGTTGATAAGAACGGTACGAAAGATAGCATCAGTATCGATCGACTCAAAGCAGCGTACTTAGAAGGAAACCCTAGCTACGTTGATTTTCCTTCGGTACAAGCAAACGACACAGCTACTACACTCGTAGTACCCTACACGACAACCGACACACAACTTGATACTTCGTCAACGTCGATAGTAAAACCTAAAACAACGCGTTCTGGAAGACGAGTAAGATTTCCAGAACATCTTAACGAATATTGCACGTAGGACATAAGCTTTATCTGGAATTACCCTTTCAAAGTTTATTATAATTTTTTTTTAATATGCTCATTTTTTATTTATGTAAAAAAAACAAACAAAAAAAACATTTTTTTTGAACGTATATATATATATATATTTATATATTAAAAAAAAAACCAAAAGAAAACCTTTTTTCCGATCGCTTTTACGCTGTAAGTGTATCAGTTTATTTTTTTCCGCTCATCTTGTGTCCTTACGCAAGTACGAGTGTATTTTTGACATGCACTCACACGTTTTATTTTTCCTCTTTTCCAGGACGGCTGGAAAAGAACGACGAAGTTTCGCAAGGAACAGAAATTTTCATTGTACTATATTTCTTTATTTGCTACGTTGTACATTTTGGTCCCATAGTTTAAGGAAAGACGACCAGACGCTGCTAAACGAAGCAAGATATCAGAAGAGTGTTTACCAACGAAAAATTCGTTGGGTTTAAACTTCTGGCAGGTCACGTCTTAGGGGCATCACTACCTCACTAGGGGGGGAGTGATCTGTAGCTGTAAATAATTCCCCAAAATCAATAGCTCATTAAGTGTTCGACATTGGATGCTGACCACGTTGTTTAAGTGGACTTGTTTAGCTGAAGGCTTTCGGTCATGCATCCGCACCAGATCACGTTTCAATACTGCGTGGGACACAGCTCCTACGTTTCATTAGCCAGCTCATAGAAAAGGTCCTCGATATATTGGTAACGAATCAAATATATCTTTCCAGCCTATTCTCGTCCGACTTCTGATTTCTATCTGACTGGGAACGACCGAACATAGAAGGTGCTACTGGTATCTATTTGTAAAACTAGAAAACCACGTTGCATCTTCAAAGTCAAGCAAAAATAAGAGACATGGTAAGGAAGACAATCAAAATGGTAAGAAAAATATTATCATTGTAAAGCGTCGTTCACATTAGTTGAGAATGTTTCTCTCGATGATGGAAACAAGGAATTTATACATGGGACATTTTCATTGTTCGGGTCAGAGCTTATTGAATCTAGTTGCGCTTCAGAGGTATGTTGCTCATCATAATTATCTTCATGGTCCGCTTCGTAATTTGTTACATAATCCATTCCACACACCACAGAGGCATCTGGAAGAACATCAATATCTGAAACATGATTTTCTATCCTATCTGTTACGTTAGGGAAGGCATTAACCGGATTTGAACTATCTAGTTGATGGTGACGTCGGCGGCGACGTTTAGCAGCTTTCACATCTGAACTTTGAGATGAAATAGAAGTAACCTTATCTCTTATAGGTGTGGAACTTGCTTCACAATGTTCACTAGGTATGTTGTTCTCATCGTCAGTTGACTTAGATAAACAAGAAGAGCAATGACTCGAATCCTTCTGTGAAGGTAATGTATCACTAAATGTTGGCTGACCTGAAACAAGAAACAACTGATTGCCTGATACAGCTACCGTAAGGAATTTCTTTGGATGCCAGGATAAGTGAAGTATTTTATGTCGACAGTGTATCTGGTGCATTCCAGGGACAGTTGATGTCCCTGATAGAAATTCTTCAATAGACGTTTTTTTAACAGGCGGTGAATTTAAAATGATACCTGATAACTCATGACCATCATTTGAATTCGGTACTGTGCATGAAGAACTAACACCATATCCACATTTCTCTACCATGTCATGTTGAATTCCAATATATTAGCCTCCTATTATATTTTAGGGATTGATAGAAAAGAAAATATGACAGGAAACGTATCGTTCCTGTGGCGATAATTTGGAATCACTTCATAAAAACGCGCAAGAGCATACAGTTAACACTCAAAACTGTTCGGTTCAACTACATCTAGAATAGATAGGTTAATTTCAATGCTTATACAGCCGGAGAATTGTTGGCGCAAAAGTTTGACTAGGTGTTTGTGTACCCACTATTTCACTACAAGCTACTTCAGAAAACTAACAAATCGAATGGTTAGTTAGTGAACTTCTATACACATCCACAATCGCAAAGACGATAGCAACACAACAATTTATTCAGAAGACATTGGGTGTTAAAACTATGGCATATCAAGTCCAAAATTCATACAACTCTAACAAACATAGAAATGGGATCTGTAGTGGCGATCAGTTTCGATTGATATAATTGACAATAATTGGTATTCTGCATTCAATTTCTCAAACGTGTGATATTTTCGCATATGCTACAATTTTACCAAACACGAATATGATCAAAACCCAACATTTTCACGACTAGACGATATAAACTAATACGTCAATATTTAAGTTACTCACTCAACACTCATCAGCTGAGAGGCAAATTTGTCGACAATACCAAAGGTATTGCTGAAACCATAATATGACGAAGAAATGAAACTGTAACTTGTAAGCTGAGTGATGCAAATAATTTAGACAATAGAAGCAACAAATTAATGTTTTATAATTTATGCTAAATAAGAAATGCACGAAAAATACACGTTATACTTTTGGAATGGAATACAATCTATGGAAAACATTTCCAGTCAGTGATTTACAATACTTCGATTTCAATTACAATAATTTGTACTGTAAAGGCACGCAAATCTTATGCGAATGAAACACAATCAAGCTCAGAACAAGTAGATATTGTAAAGTGGAAAAATGGGTAGTAAAAATCTCTATTGATAGAGGACATTAAAATAACAGTGTCGCAACATGACATCGGGAGTCAGCATTCGTACAGGGAAGAGATTGTTTGTGTCTGAAGGCATGTCTCCCTGCCTGCCTGTGTATGTGTATGTGCGTGTGTAATTATGCATGTACTATTATTGTATATTTATCCCAAAATAAATGAGATACTCCTCCAGCAATTGTGAAAACAGTTTTGATGATATAGCAATTGATTGTGGAAATATGTCAACCCTGAGATGAAGTCAAGCAAAAATAAGAGACATGGTAAGGAAGACAATCAAAATGGTAAGAAAAATATTATCATTGTAAAGCGTCGTTCACATTAGTTGAGAATGTTTCTCTCGATGATGGAAACAAGGAATTTATACATGGGACATTTTCATTGTTCGGGTCAGAGCTTATTGAATCTAGTTGCGCTTCAGAGGTATGTTGCTCATCATAATTATCTTCATGGTCCGCTTCGTAATTTGTTACATAATCCATTCCACACACCACAGAGGCATCTGGAAGAACATCAATATCTGAAACATGATTTTCTATCCTATCTGTTACGTTAGGGAAGGCATTAACCGGATTTGAACTATCTAGTTGATGGTGACGTCGGCGGCGACGTTTAGCAGCTTTCACATCTGAACTTTGAGATGAAATAGAAGTAACCTTATCTCTTATAGGTGTGGAACTTGCTTCACAATGTTCACTAGGTATGTTGTTCTCATCGTCAGTTGACTTAGATAAACAAGAAGAGCAATGACTCGAATCCTTCTGTGAAGGTAATGTATCACTAAATGTTGGCTGACCTGAAACAAGAAACAACTGATTGCCTGATACAGCTACCGTAAGGAATTTCTTTGGATGCCAGGATAAGTGAAGTATTTTATGTCGACAGTGTATCTGGTGCATTCCAGGGACAGTTGATGTCCCTGATAGAAATTCTTCGATAGACGTTTTTTTAACAGGCGGTGAATTTAAAATGATACCTGATAACTCATGACCATCATTTGAATTCGGTACTGTGCATGAAGAACTAACACCATATCCACATTTCTCTACCATGTCATGTGGAGAACTCTTGTTATGATGACGATGTTTACTTTTGTGGTGACAACTACGGGATTTGTCGTGTTCACTTTGTACAGCACAATGAGAATCAGTAGAATTATTAGTACGAGAAGGAAGGATTTGCTTTCGACGCTTTGAACCTGTTGGAGGTGCTGAGGGAGTATTCTCTGGAGGGTTGAGATCATCTAGTTGACAGTTATATAGCTTCGTTCTGCCAGGTGATACCTCTAAGGTGTTCGAACTATCGTCAACTTTATTCCAATCATTATTATCACTACAGCTGCTATGTGAACTGGTTTGACTTGTAGTTTCTGGAAAGAGAGCTTCCACAGCATCCAATGGTGCTACGAAAATTGAAGATAAACCTAACCGACTTCCAATGGGATCATCAGGAGACATAAACCGTTTAGGTGATAAATAATTCCCAGTATTACATGCAGAATTTGTGTTATAAGGATTGCTTGAGTCGTCAAGGTCATACAACCAATCAGAGCCATTGTGGCGGTCAAATATATGAAAGAGATTGCCGTAAGATCCCGTTATTGCATACCTGTATATAAAATGTAAGTTATATTGTATGATAGAAATATAAGATTTAAGGTTGCAAAGCACCGACTAGAGCAAACATATCACATCTCGTTTAATCCTTAAAAATCCAACTTCTGTATCAATGCAGAAGTTTCAACATTGAACATAATCGCACTAGTGTGATTTTTGCGAATCACAACAACTCTTCATCAGACGAAATATATTTTACATTCAGTCACCAGTAAATACCTCAAAAGTCAGTAAGGGCATCAACGAACCATTTTCATGGAAATCGGGCTTACAAATAGTCATATATTATTATGGTGAAGGAACTCGATAGTGGGAAGATTAATTGACGAGCTAGCTAAGTTTCGGTTGTACACTGCATTCCCATAATAAGGGATGATACAATTATTTTCTTCCCACTAATGCCCTATTGTTAAAGTATGTGGACGACAGTTCAGTTAACAAAATACCACAACTATCTTATTCAATACACGTTTTAGTCAATCACATGGAACGTAGGACCTGACATATAAGTGCATCGGTGCAAGTTGTCTTACTATACTAGTCCAATTAGATAGCATTGCCAAGACAAGTAAATGAGTAGCATGAATAGTTACAGTAGTAGAAAAGGTTATGTATGGCAGGAAAAAATGTAACAAGATTTCTGGATTCCGGATTCAAAGGGAGATAAAAAGTGAATATATCTGCGCACTTGCGAACGATTCTGAGCCATGTCACACCTCGATATGTTTATGAGCCATAATTACCTATCATTGCAGTTATTTAATAGTATTCTCGTGAACCCAGAGATAAATAGTGTGTAACGTGTTTACCAGCTACAAACTCGTGCACATCAACCTTCAGTCACACTATTTCAGATATAAGGGATTAGTGATACTACCACCTCATCTAGTAGTTGAATACTAATTGATTTAACCATAATATTGATTAATTAAGCTCACAGAGAGAAAGTCCATTAAGAGATTATAAATCCAAAACACTGAACGAAGGCACTAACCAATATCTTTATGAAAAAGTATGCTAAAGCTTTTATGAAAACATTTTAATACCTACATATTTGACGAAAGATTCAACGGTCAGTGCAGCCAGACGTTTACAGTGATGCCGTGTTTTTGCAGTCGTTTTGAAAACAGGATCTACATGCTGGAGACTAGATTCAATATCTGAACTTGTTATCAAGCAGTTTTCAACGTACGCACGTATAAAGCTGAGACCTCGAGAAACGTCATCGGCGAATATCTGTAAGATATGTGCGGTATTTCCTAAGCCGTAATGCATGCGCAGAAACTCTTAGAGTTTAAAAGGTGTGATGATAGCGGTTTTTGGAATATCGTCAGCAGCCATGTGAATTCGATTACATGTTCTAGCCAAGTCGATTTTCGATAAGACAGTTGTACCGTTCAAGGAAGCTGTCAAATCGTTAATATGGAGCAACGGGTAACGATCGAGAATGGTTAGTTTCCCCATGCAACAGCCGATAGTCACCAGTTGAACGCTAATCTTTACTGACCTTTTTAGGAACTGTGTGCAAGAGAGATGCCCATGGGCAGTATGATGGCCGAATGATTCCTAAATCTATCAAGTGATCTAATTCGTTTTTGGCCAACCTCAGCTTTTGGAAGCCAGTCAGCGTGCTTTCGAGAATACAGGCGGTCCTGTCATCGTGATGTGATGTGTAACATGGCTGGTTGCACACGGCAATTTCGGTCGCGCTTGGTATATCTCAAAGTACTTATACAGTAATTGTTGATAGAATGGATCTATCGTGTGTCCAACTATGACTGGAGATAATCTGCAACCGGAAAAAGAAGTCATACATACAGATAATTTGGTGTTTCCGTTTACTAACCTCCGTTCGCGCGTGTCGATGAGTAAATTATAGTTTTGTAGAAACACTATACAAATGGTTGACGTAGAAACATCTGCAACAACAAAGTTCTAGTGAATGCGTTTGCGTAAGCCCACTTTAAAATACACATATCGCTTACTGCATGTGGACATCTGTCTTCCATTTGCTCTCTGTAAGTTGAAAGTTGATTCGTGTAGTCGGTCGTCGGATTTTGAAGGAAAACGCTAAATTCTGCTCCAGTGCTAACGGAATAGCGACTTTTATGCATCACATTAGTAAGATATAAAGGACGGCTTTGTTCACAGGGTACAGATGCCGTTAACGCGAGCCGATTAGGACGTTTTCAGAAAGGTTTTCCGTGTCGGATGTTATGAAGCTCAGTTATTGTACGGTTTTCTGAGATTTCAAGATTTACTGTGTCACCAACACCAGTGTAAATTATTTGTTACTGGTGGTCAAGAAACAGATATTTGTCGTAGCGCAATTATTTGAGTAGTTTGAGAGCGTATGCAGGATTACGGTCTAGTTTGTTGTCAGTAAATTTGTAGTG